TCTAAAGACCATCAAAGCAAAGTTTTGCTACGTTTCTCTAGCTCATAGCATAATTTATAAATACGATTTCATAGTTTTCTAGTTTATAACATAACCGTGTTTATCATATCCTAAATGTTTGTCGGATGACCGATCCATTGTCACATAACAATACGCCAACGGTTATGGCGGTCGTACGTAACGTGCTAAACAATGCGTTGCTATATGAGCCAGCTATTGTCAATGTTTCTCGAAAATGTACCACAAGTACGGTAAATGTGAACTTTTATTACTCGACTTGCTTTGCCCGCGACTTCTTCAGCAATATTAGAATAAAAAGTAGCTGACATTATGCCCGTTTATGTCAATTACCCGTCAGTGAAAGTCCAATCGCAATCGGCGCAGCTGTTTCGGAGATTACCCGGAACAAACGCGACTTGATACAAAAAAACTTTTAAATGCGATTTTCGTTGTTAGTAACCCAAATACATCGTCTTCCCGAAATCTGAAATTTTTCTTTTGATATTGCAGACTCCAATTTTATTATATGTATAGATTAACAATTAAAAAAACGGTGAATAAATGTTTTTAATAATAAAATTTCTTTAGGATACGATTTAAAATGTTTTGAATAAAATATTTGTGTTACTACTGCCATCTATCATCAGACATCAGCACTAAGGAAAACAAAAGCGAAATGTTTCACCACGAAAACTTGGCGCGTTTTCAATTTTCCACGTTCTCGATGTTAACACTAGATGGCGTTAGTAGTACCTTAAGCCAGTCGAAGATATTTTTGTATAACGTTTTGGGCGAAAGTTTATTTTTAAATCGCCAGCGTATAAGTGGCCTAGGAAGTTTATGTAGGACCGATTGCGTGCAGAATACTTCGCGTTCTCCAGAGTTTTCCATCGAGTAATTGTTAAACAATTACTTCTAGCAACGATTCATTGGGACCATTATGATTAGTTACAAAATAAAACTTTTAATAAAGCTTTCGAAGAGTCAAGTAGTTGCTTATATTATAAATGCGAAGTTTTGGATGGATGTTTATACGACTTTTATTGCTATCATTATGTATTTTATGCAACTACAATAAAGACATTCCGTTGGTTTGTAAACAGATATCCTAACTTGTTTACCTGGATCCTCTTTAGTTTCAGACAGCGGGGAGTCGAGTTATTTGCTTCTTAATAAAGTTTCATAAAGTTCGGTATTATATATTTAAATAAAATTATTAAAATAAAATAGAAAGTAGCCAACGTGTTCCAAACTGTATTTTATATGTGTGACAAATTTCTTCTATATTCGTTCAGCCATTCTGGAGATATGTAATATTCATACATCTAAACTTTCGCATTTATAATATTAAGAAAATTACTCCTAGAAGTACTATGAATACTCATGTTTAATTTTCCCGTAAATTGAACGATAAAGATTGTTTCTTTCTCTTTTCAAACACGATGAAATGGGTAATATGTTTTCAAATTTCCATGGAAACCCACATCGTAGGAACAATCGACAATAACTCGCAAAAAACCGATCATAAATTTAGTAATGTATTTTAAGAGATCGAGAAGTCTGACTCACGGACTTTTTCTCTATCTGTCTGGAACTGCGAATGATGTGTCACATACGAATACAGTATGCCACCGAGAGAATGTGAACTTCATCAGTTTATGATCTGACTAATTTTAGCCCGCGTGGAATAAAAAAACAAAAGCAAGTAGCCTGTATTCTTCCAGACTATCCACATCCATGCCAAATTTCATCAAATCCATCTTAACTTTCGCATTTATAATATTAGTTAGATTAAATCTATCATGAATTAAATAACGACGGAAAGAGTCGTTTAAAATTCTACGTGTGATTAAGCAGATTTATAAATTGTCTAAAAGTCAAATTGTTATTTTCTGAACTGATATTTTAACTTTATCTTTAACTTATGTTTAATGTAATTTTTAGCTTAAGTTCGTTAAATTAGCCAAGTAATATAAACAATGTATTCCAATAAGCTTTGTTTTATTGATCGGCTGACATTTTAATATACCTAGTAAGATTCTTTAATGCCGAAATTAGTAATTATTCAGTAACATACGTGGATTCAGAATATAAAATGTTACTCCACGTTACTATAAGCTTTACATCGATCTTAATTAACTCTACTAACGTTTATGATTCCTTTGATCCTAAGCCAAAATAATTCGATTTTGTTGCTAGTTAAAAGTCATATGTTATTTTTGAGATTTTAAAATTTAATACGCGTAATACCTAAGATCGATGCTTGAAAATTAAAAAAACAAGCATACTTAACAATCTAAAGAATTAATTGTAATAGAAGGAAACCCACTAAAAATATAACCTTATTGTCTGTCGGAAAAACGCTGTATATTGCGAAAGATATTCTTTCATTAAGAAATTTGCAAGCAAAGTAATTTATAAAATTCCTATGAAATCGACCCGCAATAGGCTAGCATCGTTGTAACCTTAACCCCACATGATAGGCTATCTCAGTGCGCTTATGAGTGCGCATCTTACAAATATTATATTTGTTAGGGTGTGTAGCCTAAAAGATTCGTTAGATCTGGATGAAATTTGACATAGTTGCATAGTCTGAAGGAACACGTAGGTTATTTTTTATTAAAAATTAATACCACGCGGACCAAGTCTCATGCAAAAGCTATTTACATAAAACTCTCGTTATTCGTCTGTCTGTACTAAGTCTAACTATGAGTTTCCGTTGCCAACAACCTTGTCCGCACGCGCTTACTTCAATCACCACTTGTAATTGTTTAATTTCTTATTCGCTAGCTTGTTTCATAAAAAAAAAACTAGAACACAATTAATTATTTGTAGTGTTTTAGTTAAGTATCCCACTTGGTTACTGTTCCTATTCATTAAGGCAAGAATCAAATAAACAATATCGAACAATTATTTGTTTATTACCAATTTTCTTTCGTAACTACTTTAATGTTACGATACGTTTTCCCGTAAAAGCATGTAAGATATTCAGGCGCACAGGTAGTGTGAGGTGCCGGTGGCAGAGGGCGCGGCGAGCACCGAGCGGCGAGCGGGCGACACCCGCGTGGGCGCGCTAGGGACGAGAACAACCGTTATTTATTCTTTTAGCTACGTTATATAGCGCTGTTATTTTTTGAGACGAACATTTTGTTTATAAATATTTTCGACGCTATAGAGTTTAGATTCTTCATATTCTACAACCTTTAACGTAGATAAACATTCACAAACGAAGCGAACGTGTAGTATTTTTATAAATTTGACTCGTTTATTACTTTAGAATTGGCCATAAACTTTTTTAAATTTTGCGAAAACTTAATGGTTATTCGCATAATTAGTTAATTATTAATAGCGCGCACGCGGACGGGCGGCGTGGTGCGGGCGGTCTGCGGGCGGTGCGAGT